CTCCCTGCTCAATCACATCTTAATCAGCTAATTACCAGGTTTAGTAGGAGTGTCTGAACAAAGAAATTGGCTGCTGGACTCTCGCCCTCCAGGACTGGAATTGACAGCCCCTGATATAGAGAGTCTGCAGTCACATAAAGCTTCTTATGTTTTCGCGTTCTGAGGGAACTTCGTGCTACAGGGCTCTAGGAAAAAAGTAAGATTGGGAGGAAGGGATGCAATTCACCATCAGGAAGTGTGTTAGAATGGCTTTGTAAGCCACTGCTCACTGGGGGGGGGGGAGTTGTGTTGGGTCTGCCAGAGGACTTATGTGAGTTCAGTCTCCTTGGAACCAATTTGGCGGCTCTCCTTGAGGTGAGAATTGATGCAAGTCCAAAGGGGTTCAGGGTCAGGGGCTGCTGTCAGAACCTGTGGCCTTACAGCCCAAACTGACCACGGAGGTCATGCTGAATGCATCTGTATGATGCCTTTCCATCTCCAGCACTAGCCCAGGCTAATTCCCCACAGAGAGCTAATGTCCCAAGTCCCCAAAGTAAGTGCCAAGGGCTGATCCGTCTGGGCCATTCCCGGTCATGCCTCTCGCCCACATGGCCCTGCACCTGACCTTCAACCTGCAAGGGGGGGGGGGGGGGGCACGGGCACGGGACTTCACTGGCCGTCTTTTAAATACTAAATAAATAGGCTTAATAGGAGACGCATAGTCAGACAATTGGATTCAAAAATGCCGAGTGAAAAACTTGTTAGGAAAAATGTAACGACTTTGGTTTGCACTTTTAGCTAAGTTGAATAAAACAGTTAGGTAATTTTAATGTAGATTCATGCTCGACGCTTTTGAAAACTGAACAACTGGAGTGATGTGTGGCGCTGTTGCTTAGCGCTGCCTGTCATTGCGTACAAAGTCACCAGTTCAAGTCCCCAAGGCAGCTAAATGTTTTTACTGTTAGTCCTTAATCCCAGTTGCTCCAAGAACTGACTTTCTTAAAAATAGGAAAATAGGAAATCCCCACAACACTCTTATTTGACTCCGGTCACCATTAGAGAATTCACTATATATTCCCCCTCCCCTTTGGCAGACACTCAGGTGTGCGGGGTCAGATTTAAAATGAAAGCCGACCGGACAGCGGACGATCCGGTCCTCGGGTTTATTCGGTGCGCTCCGCTCAGCGTGCTGTACTCCGTGGCGCCGATGGGGGCACTGTGCAAGTAACTCGCAGTAACGGGCAGTCCGTGCGTGCTCTCCGCTTCTGCTGCTGAATGTAACTTGTTAAAGTGGTTTGTGATCCTTAAGCGTTTTAGCGTGTATTAGACCAAACGCTATTTACCGGGTATTGGAGATGTTATCATTAAATAGTGACTTTAACTGCGCGTGGTTTAATGAAGGTTGTTTAGGAAACGGCGCAGTCTGACGGTGTGTCCGCACATCTAGCATGGCTTCATGCCCCCGGCTCCGCTTCCCCCGTCGGTCTGCATGGCCGGCAGCCCGTATCCTCAGCTCACCCGACAGATCTCATGTCTTCAGAGATTTCCCGGGTTGCTGGTGGCGTGTCTCCTGCTCCGACCTCTGTCTAATTGAGAGTAACCAAGCGTGAGAGAAGACGAAGTGCATGTGTCATGCTGCTCGTTAACATGAATATGACTGCTGTGTCGGGGTTATGGTTTATGTAGCTATCCTGTTAACTGGTGGCAAGCGCGATCACGGGCCAGTGTTTACGTATTCTTGCAGATGTGTGGTGGTAGCAGATGGGTCAGTTTTGGAAAAGTGAAATAAAAATATAAGTATTCGGAACTGGCCATGCGTATACTTCAGGTTACTTAAAATTTATCCTCCTGAGACCCCACCCATTCATTTATGGCCATTTTAGTGGACATTTTGTTTTTGCATCTATCTTTTCACTGATGTAAGGAAACGTATTTATTCCTGCTGTACACTAAAGAGGACATGCTGCGAAATTAAAAATAAAAATAAATTAACTAAATTGTAAGATGTCATTTCCTCCAAAGACAAATAACCTAAAATTGAAGGACACTTTTTTCCTTGGGTCTCAGGAGGTCATAGTTGAAGAGCAATCTTTTTCATACCAGACTTAAATTTATATTGATAGACCATTACAACTGCACACGTTTGTCATATTTTACAAACGTGCTGGACAAGCCCTTTTCTTCATTACCATACGTCTTTATTTTATTTCGATTCAGTTTATTTTTATGTAGCATCTTTCACAACAGAGTTGCCCCACTTTACATAGGATTGTTGTGATTAGGGTTGCAAAGGGGGGGGGGGAATTCCTGGTAAATTTCTGGAAACTTTCCAGAAACTTTCCAGGGGAAGTTAAGCAGGGGAATTTCGTTAGAAATAGCAAAGAAACAAGACTGTATGAACAATAGCATAGAAAATATGACTTATTAGAGGTGTGGGGAATCTGTTCCTTGGAGCGCTGATGTGGGAGTGAGTTTTTGGGATGACCGCTCAATCAGCCAATAACAAAACAGTGGTTCCAACTCCAGTCGTGGGGACCCACTGATATTGGCTGATTGAGA